AAAATGTAATCAATGTTTCATAGGCCTATTTGATTTTTGTATACAGTTATTAAATAAATTTGAGACTCTTTTTTATTATAGTGATGACTGAGTTGCTATTTGAATGTTATCGTGTACCGTCAGTGTGTTATGGTATTGACGCTCTTTTTAGCTTTCACTTTAACGAATTATCCTCCGATGAAGGTGGAATTGTGATATCATCTGGCCATACTACAACCCATGTTATACCAGTGTTTGGTCGTAGCGTGTTAGGACAGACTAAAAGGTATTGTGCAATTTGGTAGACATGTTATTTAAACCCGAATTTGAATTCAATGTTTTACTTTTTTTAATAACATTATAAGTAATTCCTTTATAGGATATCATATGGTGGATTGACATCAACAGATTATATGTTAAAGTTAATGCAATTAAAATATCCAACATTTCCAACGAAGATGACTGTTAATCAAGCACAAGTTAGTAGTTGATAATTTTTTTTAGCTTTGTTATATTTGAAAACCTTATTTTTATATAATTATGCATTTATGCTGTTAGCATCTTGTACATAATCATACGTATGTTGCCGAAGATTATTTCTCCGAATTAAAGGAATATACAGATCCGAAAACATTTGCTGAAAAGGATCGAATCATTCAATTTCCTTATGTGCCACCGGTAAACAAACATACTTATGATGAATAGTTTTATTATATGTGTGATATGTGTGTTATATATTTTTTTTTTCAAAAGGCTAATGAAAAGAGTGAAGAGGAATTAGCCAGAGCAGAAGAAAGAAGGCAAGAACAAGCTCGCCGTTTAAAAGAACAGGCCGCAAGATTAAGACATCAAAAGGTAAATCTTCATTAAAAAATTTTATGTTTATTGATAAAAGAAACAATGAAAGCAAACTCAATATTATTGTTTATTTTTAATAAGTTAAAAGATCTAGAAAACAATTTGGAATTTTACATGGAAATCAAAACAAGCAAGTCCTCAATGAAAAAAGCAGAATTTATTGTACGGTGTATTTTAGTAATTGTAAAAAGAAATATAATTATAAGCAGTAGATAGTAATGAATAATTTTCATTTCAAATAGGCAAAGCTTAAAGAAAACAGAATCAGTGATGAAGCAGAATTGGATGAGATCATTCAAAAAACCGAAAAGTCAGTGCAGCGAGCAAGGAATAAATTATTAGGAATTGAAGAAGTTGAAATAAAAGTATTTAATAAATAGACAGTGTCGTTAATTATCGTATTGTCATGGTATAATTTAATTTATAATTTTAATTTTAATCTGATATTGAATTCAGGAAGAACCTACATTTCCACTGGTAGATATACCGGACGATCAGTTAAATGAGGCTGAGCGAAAGGAGAAAAAAAAGCAAATTGCTTCCAAGAGTCTGCATGAAACACGTCAAAGACAACGAGAAGCAAAAGAGTTAGCTAGACGACAACAAGTAAATTCTCTGCCTTAATGATTTGATTTATATAAACTATTTCATATTGTATAAGAAAACCCTTTACGTATAATCGTACTTTTGTTAGGAAGAAGAAAAAAGAATGGAAGAGCAAAGACGACAAACGGATTTTGAAGGCTGGTTAAACGAACTTAAGCAGAATTATCAGGTATCCAATTTTTATTATTTTTCTTTAAGAGTCAATGATGAAATATGAACATGTTCTAATTGACTGTCCTTCAGAATCAACTTGATAAAGTAAAAAATCTCAAACGAAAAAAAGAACAACTCTCTGATCGGAGGAGTCATGCTTCCCAATTGCGCATGAAATCAATTGCTAATTTGGCTAGTGACACTCCACAGCAAAAGAGACGTAGAAGAGGTCAAGATGGTAATTGTCAAGTACATTATATGAATGATTTGAATTAATCTTTTGGTTAATTATTTTTCTTTTACCAAATAGAGGACACATTTGGAATGGATGATAATGATTGGGCTATTTATAAAGAAATAGTAAGTTAAGCGTGAGTTACGTGTATTATGTATCATTTATCATTCAATGTATATTAATCGCTTGTAGAGTAGAGAAGAAGACGCATGGGAAGAAGAAGAAGAACTAACCTTATTGAGAGAATATGAAACCAAACTTCTTCAATATGATTCTACATTTCTTCCAGAGCATACATTTGATGCAAAGAACTCTGTTAAGAATTCCCTTATTTTCATGTTTACTCGAGGAGTCACACCTCCATTTGATCCAGAGAATTTTGCACAGATGCATCAATTACATGTAAATGTTGAAAGAGTAAGGGTTCCAGAAGCTCTATTTCAACCTAGTATACTTGGGTTGGATCAAGCTGGAATAGTAGAAACCATTGGAGAAATAATAAGCCGATTTGAGGATGTAGATGCAAGAAAAAAGACGATTCGGGTAATTAAATTGTTATTATGAATTATATATTACTTATTTATTTTTACCCGTTTAATTGAAACGCATTATTATGATAGTCTGTATTTGTTACTGGAGGGCACACGCAAACACCGGGTCTTTCAAAACGGTTAGAAATTTCACTTCGATCAATTTTACCAGCTGGATCACCACTCCAAATAATTCATGCGAAAGATCCAGTACTTGATGCATGGCACGGTGCAGCCCTTTGGGCTCGATCATCCGAATTTCAGAATTATTCTGTTACGGTAGAAGAATATAACGAATGTGGAGGAGAATACATAAAAGAACATCGATTTGGCAATGTATATTATAAAACATGAGTTTTGTAATTATTACCATGTAATATAATGGAAATTTGGTGAAACTTTTGGCAATACAATTTTTAATGATATCGATAATTTATTTTTTCATGATATTTCATGGTTTGAGAGAAAATTAACTCCAAAAATCCCAAATTGTAAACGTTTAAAAAAGTACGAATTCAACTGATACTCTTGTCTTCAATTAGTTTTCAATTATTGATTGTCAATACGGTATCAAGTTGCTTATTAAAGCTAAAGAATTTAAAGCAAGTGTTAAATATTGTTTTATTTGAATAATCATTTACAAATGAACTAAATGAACTATAAAATTCTAATCATAAAAAGCATAGTTATAAAGATAAATATGATTTGTTATAAATTTACAAGTACATAAAATAGGTGTATCAATCACATATTAACATCAATTATATTTAGTATAAATAAATCTAAAATTTTAAAATTAAAAATGTTTTAAAAAAAAGTTAATAAGGACCTCCTGTAGGTGGGTATCCTTGGCCAAAATTTGGTGGTGGATACATTTGGTTATTAGGAGGTGGATAAACATTATTAGGTGGATATGGTGGCTGTTGATAACCGCCTTGTACTTGTGTAGGATAATTAGGATAATTAGAACCTGCATTATACTGAGGGTATCCACTATTCGGAGCTGGTGCATTAGGTGTTGGTATAGGTAACGGAAATGACACTGGACTACCATTTGGAGGTGGTTGAGGATGGCCTCCAACCGGTGGCGGTGCCATTGCTGGATACCCTTGAGATCCCTGAGGTGGATAAGGTGCAGATGTTTGAGGCGAAAAGGGCGAAGACGCACCCTGATGTGTTTGAGGTGGATAAGGTGCAGACGTTGGAGGATAGGGTGCAGACGTTCCTTGAGGTGGATAGGGTGCAGACGTTCCTTGAGGTGGATAGGGTGCAGACGTTCCTTGAGGTGGATAAGGAGTAGACGCTCCTTGAGGTGGATAGGGAGCAGAATTTCCTTGTGGTGGATATGGAGTAGAATTTCCTTGTGGTGGATAGGGCGCAGAATTTCCTTGTGGAGGATAAGGTGATGTTGATTGCGAAACCGGAGGACGGTATGGTGTATTATTTTGCTAAACAATTAAATAGTCCAAATAAAGATTTCTATTTTAAACACGAATGAAGCAAATTTTAAATTATAAAGTTCACTTACGGGCTGAGGTGAAGTAGATGGGGGAGGATATGAACCTGGTATAGGTGCAGGTGTATTAGTTGGGGGCCTATAGGGAACCGAAGTCTGAGGTGGATTTTGAACTACAGGCGCTGGTTGTGGCGGGTTTGCTACTGGAGGTGGAATACCCTTAAGTTTAAAAAGATGATATGTTGAGTATACGGAAATTTCGTAACCAATTATTATAGAAAATAACCATTATTAAAGAGCTTACAGCGTTGTAAAATGTCATCTCAAGGTAAATTTCCCCCGCATATTTGTTACGATATTTGATTTCATGCCAAGCTGCATAAAATTAGCATGAAATTTTTAATATTAAAATTTTTAATATTAACTTATTTTAAATCAATATCAATTAGGATTTTTACCATCCCATTCGCCGGTTTTTAACACCTCATCTAATTTAATGACTTCATCACCCACAAGAATATGCTCCCGTTTATCTTCGTTGTAAATTTGAATCTTCATTACTTTATGCCTTGGTTCATCCATAAGTTGAAAGCGTATTTCTTCATCCCATACTGGATGTTGCCCGCCTCGTTTATCAGTTTTTGTTCTTTTAGCCATATCACCTATCCGAAATGTGGTAAAAGGATCTCCCTTACCGATGACATCGCGAGCACTTAAATTGCGCTATATATAATATCATTTGCAGGATTGTAAATGTTTTAGTGTTATAAAACATTGAGTATTATTAAGGATTTCGTTATCGCCAGTGCCAGATAAGTAATTTGTTCCATCAGAACTTTTTAAAGTAAATTTCTTAACTTTGTTGTCAGATTTACGGAATAAAGTTACTTACAGCCTTAATGGCAACGACCACAAGTTCACCTAATTTTTTAGACATGTTTAAAATTAATGAATTCTTTTAGAAGTTGAACTATTCTGAAAGTCTTTAAATATAGTCGGGTATGAAGTTTGGGTCATATCCTAACACGTGTTCTGATCCAATGTATTTGCCTAGTATGGTCATAAACGATAGCTCGGGAATCATTTGCCTAGTATGATCATAATGATAACTCAGAGAATTCATCGGATTTAGGCCGGTATCACAGTTATCATAAATCTCATAAATCCTGGGGACACGATAAAAATTAACAATGATTTTCGGCCGATTTGATAAGTAATTTATTTCTATATAATTTCTATATAATACGTAATATTTGTTCTTCAAATAATTTTATTATTATTTGAATATTTGCCCATGTTTAGTGTGTTTAGTTTGTACGAAAACTTATGTAAAAGATTGTCAACAAACAAATCTTGGCAAGAAATATGTATAAAAAAGGCGGAGATTAAACGCCGAAGATTACAAACTTAATCAGAATTTATGATTATGATTTCGTTAGTACGTAAAATTTTTAAGTGATCATGAATTAATCAACACCGGCTCATTCCGGTGTATTCCGACCCGTAATTTTGGTCAATCTACTAAATTTTTGGACCCTCGGGACCATTGACGTGATAGTAGGTTAGTGATGTCCAAAAAATTTTACCATTTTGTGTAATCCGTGCTTCCGGAATTCGATCCGACAATTCAGATTGGACCTCGGATCGGACCTGCGAAGCACTAATGCAAGCTAGCTAATATTATAGCAAAATTACAATCCGAACAACTTTACTTAGTCATCGGTTAGCGGGTTTATTAGTAAAGTTCGCCAAAATTTGTTGATTTTCTGAAGTAATTAATTAGTCCGGAAGCTCGGATTACACAAATTGGTAAAATTTTTTGGACATCACTAACCTACCAAACTTTAGTAGTATGACGTGTCTAGTTTCGAATGACGTGTCTGGTGCAAAAAGATCATTCTAGGATGGATCCAAAAATCATATATGGCATACAGCAATATATATACGACATGTGTCTCTTTTTATATCTACGTCTACGTCAAAATGGACTCTGGGTCAAAGATCCCGATGAACAGAATTCCAGCAAACAAAACGGCTAACTTGTTAGGATTATAATTTTGTCAGCATTATGTTTGTCGGGATTTTGACCCAGATTTGTCAGAACATGACGCTTTCCGTCGAAGTAGCTACTCTCGGCCTGGCAAATGTCTATACTCTTAGTCATAACTAAGATTTTGGTTTTCGTAAGCTTGTAAGTAATGCTAGTAAGTAATGTTAGTATTAACGTTATGTAGAGTTCGGGGCACGAGAATATTTTTGGTATGCCCAAAAAACATACACTTGGTTTAAGGAATACCAAAAATTTTTAATGGAGTGAAATTTATTCGGTTCAGATCAGATTATTTCTACGGAGGGCTGTTTATACTTAACACATATTTAGGGAATCTCATCAATTAGCTATCAGAATATTTGTTAATACGTAGACTTAAATATTGGATTATGTGTACCTACTTACATGCACGCGCAACCGTTGCACGATCAATATCTTTATGAAAATGCCTTTTATGATTTTTAATATGTTGTTATGCATATCGATATGAATCACCGTGTTATCTATTATTTCACCGGCTTTTAATTCTAGCAACGTTAACTTTAAATCAGGCTAACCCTGACTATATAAATCAGGCCAACCTTAATTGTAGGGAAAATAGTTGTCTTGGAAAATGAGATCTATTTGCATAGGATACACTTTTGTCTTGCAAATCCGACCCACCGTATAGGTCGAACTAATAAAATAATTAAGATCTTAGTGTAACAAAACAAAGACAAAAACTAACCGTAGCTAACGCAAAATTTTACTATGATAATATACTTTAGCTTTTAATTAAAAATTTTCAGATTAAAATTTTACATATAGTATCATTCTTATATTCATTAAGTAAATAATTGGGGAATGGACTAGAAAAACCCGTCTCTGAAGAAGGTTTTTCATTTTGAGAAAATAGCGATTATTTGTCTGTTGTTTATTTTTAAATATCAATTATTAAAAAAATAAATTATAAGCATATTTATAGTAATTTTTTAGAAAAATTGGCCTAAAAAAAACTACAGATTAAAGGATAATTAAAAAAATTTATATAATTATATTTACATTATATAAAATCAACTAATCAACTAAAATACTAAAGCAATATCATGGTTTATACGGTACCGCCAAGAATAAATCACACCTCGAACTTTTAAATTTATAATTTTACCGGATTCAATATATCTAGTCTTTTAAAAACTGTCCAGTGAATTGTAAATTTAAAAAACCGAAGCGTGATTTCCCTTGGCGACTTTAGCATAGACAGTTTAGTAGTAAAAAATCCAATTATCATCGATTTAAAATATTTTATTTATACCCAGCTTGCGAATTAGATCTTAAAGATGCAAAAGAAACAGGAAGTCATCATGAAGTTGAATCCTATTATTCTAATGCAGCACCTCTTAATCCTTGAATTAAGTTGTACCTACTTTTAATGGCCTACATCAATCTGAAACATTATAATAATTTTCTTTCATTTGTCATTTTGTTTTGAACTGTTTATTTTAAACTATCTGTCATAATACAGTCAGATCTCCCTAAATGCATGGTATATGAAAATTTCTATAAATGCACGGCTCTACTTACCTCCCTAAATGCAATATTCTCCAAATGCAGAATTGTCAATTTTTTCATGTAGGCCTCTCGGCATTGTATTTAGAGATTTGGTTATATATTAAAATGTCAAGGCTTATCTGTCGACATTTCAATATGTATTTCAGCATCCAATATCCTAGATTATGTTAAAAAATAATGAATGACAATAAATAAAATTGTAAAGATCATAAAGAACAAAAACATAATATGCGTATAATCAATTTATTGAAGGAATGAAAGATCCCACAGCAAAAGGTGATAGGTCTATTTATTAGATAAATCCATTATTTTTTTCTGCGGGTTCATATAAAGAGGTCAAAGCCTTGGAAAACATATAACCGAAACTTCATCAGATTTCTGTTCAATATCTTCAAATTCAAAACACCCTCATTGTAAATAAAGGGTTTCGATTCTCCGCTTTTTTTTTTTTTGCAAATAATCCTCACAATCATGCGTCACTTAGATATCATCATTTGAAGTTTCATTACAATTTTAACCCTGCGATCGTGAAGTTGAATGTCCATTGAAAACCATTCCGATTGCAAACTATTGGAGATCATGAAGGAGTGGAACGTTATTATTTACGCTCCCTTCAGTGTCCTTATCGTTGTCGACATGTGGTTGTATCAATGGGCAATTCCAACAAAACAAGCAGGATGATAAATTGTTACAGTGAAGCCTCCATAAGTGCACCCTCTATAAGTGCACACCCTCTATAAATGCACGCTCACCTTCGGGCCCAAGTACAGTATGACCTCCGTAACTGCACTTTTTCTTATTGTTCTCTAAGTGCACGTTGTTAAAGTTCGGTCCACTTATGGAGGTTTCACTGTACAAATATTTCGCATTACATAAAAAAGTTGTCTCGTGTTTATCAACCAATCAAATCATGAATTTGAATTTCGAAAAGATAACGATAAAACAGTTCATATAAGCCACAGTATCGTTGAAAATGCATTCATTTACCAACATAGCTCGACCTTTTTCAGAATTTCGCCATTTGCTAAAGTTTCAGAGGATTCACCTCTCACCTGATGCCTTTAACAGGGGTTTTACCGGTTCGTCGAAGGGCTCTATTTTTCATCCTTCACCAGCTCTAGGTCTCGCCTTTCGTCATTTACATAAAACCACGCCAGTCCAAAATAATATGGATGAATATAATAAAATTCTCAACACTCAGCGTGCTGCCAGACCTGTCTCCCCTCATCTTACTATTTATCAACCTCAAATAACGTGGTTTATGTCTGGTTTTCACAGAATTACCGGGGGCGCTTTGGCAGCTGGTAAGAATTTTATTATTACCTTGTACGATATAAAATTGCATAATTCCATCCTAATTCATTCCTCTTAAGCTCTTTATGGAAGTGCAATAGCATATGCTATCCAAGGTCCATTAGGATTAGGATTGAATTCTGATGCGTTTGTTGCTGAAATAGCCACACTTCCAGCTTCCCTTAAATTTGCTGGAAAATTCGCTTTAGCTTTTCCATTTACTTTTCATGCTTTTAACGGTGTTAGACATTTGGTACGTTTCATTGTTCGCATTTATTAATAAATATATTGAAATACTTACGTTTGATTGTTTATTTTACCGGAAGATCTGGGATATTGGAGGTGCGTTAACACTCAAAGGTGTTTATGCTTCAGGTTATACAGTATTAGGACTCACTGCCATTTCCAGCCTTGGATTGTGTATGATTTAAATTGCTTTTGCGATATTAAATGGCTTTATACTGATAATGTTTACCAGTTTTAAAATAAGTGTTGTTTCATAGTACTATTGATAGTAAAGATTGAAACAGTGAAAAATTTTATTATCAGTCCTTATACAGGGTTTCTATTTCTGTTTCTTATAAATCAAATAAGTGATACACTAAATTTTATATGTAAATTTATACAAAAAAGTTATTAAATTTAAGAAAAATATGTGAGAATTTTTATTTGTACAATGTATATATATATATATATTTATATAGATATATTTTTTTTAGTTAAGGTGCCTTTCTTGGGCACAGGATCTTTATTAGATTTTTGAATGCTACGGCACACACTTTGCGAAATCTTTTATGTAAAATATTTTTAATATTTTAATACTATATATGATATATATTCTTGTAATTATATAATAAAAATATTACATGACATTCTTCCTATAATTATTTTGCACTTCTAGGCAACTGTATTTCAAATTTCTGGGTTGTTGGTTTACTCTTAACAACAAACAATCTGAACAAATAAAACTAATCTAAAATGAAACCTACTAACTAACTAACATCACTAATACAAAGAAAAATCATTAATAAACAAATTACTTATATTATTAATACAGTTATTATCCTAATCAACAATCACAATCTCTTTCCGCTGATCCCCAATTTTGTAAACAAAACAAAAAATTCGAAAACTTCATAGTATAGTCTTCGTGAAAGCAATATTAGATTTAACTGTGTTAAGTTTAATACTGTTGGGAAAACAGAAGCCACAAGTAGCTGACAACGG